CCCCAAGGGAAAAAACTCATGGTCCACCGAAGAAGGGAAGGAGGAAAAGAACCCCTGAGCAAATTGGGAGCACAAGGTGGGGTGAGAGGAGGGAAATGGAAAGAAGAGAAGGAGGGAAGGAGAACTGAGACATGGGGAGGAATAGAAGAGGGCAAGAAAGGAGATGCCTTGATAAAGATAGCCAGTAGGTTTGGAGAGAGGTCTGGCACAGAGGAAATGGTAGGGGATCCACAGGGATGACCCCAACTAAGAGTCCAGTCATTGGTGGAGAGGCTGCCTTTGATGGATTGATGACTACCTAGAGCCTTGACCCAGTAGCTGATTGAAGTAGAAACAGGCACCCACAGCTGAGCACTGAGCCATACTCCCAGAATCCAATTGTGGAGAGGGAGGAGAGATGACCAAATGAACCAAGACAGAACTGGAGATACCTGCAGAAATATTTGACCTGACCTAATGAAAGCATGCATACCCTAGTTGTAAAGTGGGGGAAGCAGCACTGGAACAAACCAAGCCCTCTGAATGTGGGTACCAGCTAGGAGTCCAAGACAGTCTATGGAACCTCTAACAGTGGAGATAGGGTTTATTCTTAGGCCACAAATGGAGTTGGGGAATCCATTCCCAATGGAGGGATACTATTGCAGCCCAGATATGGAAAGGAGGACCTGAGCCCGCCTCCAAATGATGAGATGGACTTTGATGATTCCCCCGTAGAAGGTCTCACTATCCCTGGGGAGTGGGTGGTGGGTGGGTGTGAAGCATGGGAGGATGGGAGGATGGGAGGGCGAGGGAAGGGGGAGACAGATATGTAAATAAAAGTGTTTCTAAAAATGAAAATAATAATATAATGTAAGGATCATTTTAGAAATTCTTGATCCAAAATCCTCTATCGAGAGTCCTATGGCAGTTAATCTTGTCACAGTGATTGAATTGAGGCTTGCCAAGAATTTTGACATAGCACACTGGTTTCTCCCATTTTCCATATGGTCTAGAAAAAGATCTGCTTTAATGTGACTCTATTTTTATTCGCTGGACTTGTCTATGGGGCATTTCCTGGATGGATTAATCTACTCTGAATGCGGGCAATGCTATGCTGTTCCATAGGCTGTTACCCTAAATGTAATGAAGAAGGGCAGGAGCCAGTTAGCACAAGCCCTCCTTCTTGCTTTGTTTGTTTGTTTGTTTTTTGTTTTTTGACCACCACAATGTGAACTACGCATCACGTCTTCCTTGTCATATTGATGGAAACCTCTGAACGTGGGAGACAAAATAAATCAATTATTCCCTCAATTTGTTGCTGTTGGGTATTTTGTCACAGCAATACAAATAGAAAGCCTGACTAATACAAGTCCAGTGCATACAAAATGATCCACACTAAAACTCATCTTATTTCAGAACATCAAGGATTAAAAAAAATCATAAAATATCCCCCATCAGTGTCTGAGGCTTGTGAGAGAGCTGGCCCTGTGTTCTTAAGACTGGGAGAGCCATCACTGACCCCCACCAGCTGCAACACTCTGGAGAGCAGACCTTGAACCCCACCAGGGCAGCACAATAGAGCCAACCCTGTTTGTGCAGGTGTGGGTGATCCAGCCCTGAAATTGTGAGCATGGGAGCATGGGGGAACTGTTCCCATCGCCCATCTGTCAGACCAGCCCTACAGCTGCCCAGGTCCAGTCCTAAGGTTGGCCTGCCCCAACATCCACCCCTGCTGGAGCACGTGAAGGGACCTGATCCACAGACCCAAAGCTCCAGGATCTCCACAACACAGGGCAACAAAAGGATATCCAGGAAGAGTCTGAGTGAGGACCCAGCATTGATAGAATAGTAGAAACCAGAGGCCTCAAACCAGACCAATGACTCTATGCAATGAGCACTTGCATGTAAAGATACATGGACAAAAAGGGTTCGCGGTGTGACTCACTATGTCACACTGCACTTTCCTTGATGAGATTTTAAATTTTTTCCCTTTTTTCTCTTAAATTTTGTTTTTTTAGGGGGGTTCAGGGGCTGAGGGCAGATGTGAGGGACAAGGAAATGAATGGGATCAAGATAGATGATGTAAAAGACACATAAATACATTTTAGAATATGAAATAAAGAAAATCATAAAATCTTGTGGGATTGTTGGTCATATTCAGTAAAAAGCTGAAACTATTGTTGGTCTAGAAAACAAAAACTTCTAGAGAATGCAGAGGCTGTGTATGTAAATTTGCCAGCCAGAATGGTGTTATACTTAGAAACATACTCAGAACAGGAGTTCAATAAATAAATGCCTTTGTGTTTAAATATAGAATTAAAATGAATTATCTAGAATAATATAAACACATACACACACTCATTGGTACCATGTCTAGACCCATAACCTATACTTATCCTCACACCCTCATAGATACATCTATGTAAACACTAAGTACGAAGACCTGCCTATGCAATTGAATATGCACATTTATCTTTTAATCTGAGTGTGATGCTACACACTCTTTATATGATTGGTAAGAACAGCAATTCTTTACTGTGTGGTCTCCCTTCAAAACTGTCACAGCTCTAATGTAACAGTGATAAACCAACTGGACAAATGCAACTAACAAACCCATTCTACATTATAGCTAAACTGTATATCTCAGAACCGTCAAGGTTGTCATAAATATCTAAAGCCTAAAAAATGTGTTAGGAATAAAAAAGCTTAACGTGTTGATCAAATTTGCTCTGTTATCCTGAAGGGGACACTGAAACAGAAAAGAAAGAACACATTAGGTAAAATCTAAGTAAGTATACATAAGGTATGGATTTAAAATAATTGTAAAAACACTGATTCATTTGTTGTGACTAATGTATCATTATAAAATAATAGCAACAAGGTAACTAGTGTGGGATATGTAGGCTAGTGTCTCCACACATTTTTATAAATATAATACCTTCTAAGAATTGAAGGTTGTTTAAAATTAATCACTGGTGTCAGTAACTTATCTAAAACTGGGTGGAGCTGTGAAATGGCCCAGCATAGAGCACTGGTTACTCTTCCGGAGGACCAGGGTTTGATTCTCAGCACCCATATGGCAGCTCACAACTGTCCGTAACTGTCTCAAGGTATCCATACCCTTTTTGGCCTCTGTTAACTAACGTGCAGACCAAACAGTCATACACATAAAATACTTTTCACTGGGCTCTGTACTCTCTGTTTTTAATAAAATGATACTGGAAGTCCTTGCAAGTGAAATAAGATAAAGAAGGAAATATATATGCTAATATATATATGCTAAATAATCAGCACAGGTATAATGTAATTCTAAAAGTAAATGCTTAGCATTGCAATAATTGAATCTTACTCCATTATATACAAGTCTTTGACTTTGAAGAATGTGATTAGCTAGAGAGGGATAGAGGGACAAGAGAGGAGACTAGAAGAATGAATACAATCAAAGTACATTATATAGAATATATATAGCATATAATGCATGTATTAGGAATAATATAAATAAAACAAGATACATAAACACATATGTATAGAATTTCTTTGTAAAACACAAATACATAAAATTTACAACCTCATCACTGAAAGACAGTAATACTTACATTATTATATGCATTATTATAATGGTGTATAATTATTGCACCATATCAATATATTTAAAGACTTAATATTGGATTGATTTTCAATCCCCCCCCCCAACTAATGAATTTTACCCACTTTAGTTCCAACAGAAGACCTAGTGGTACATTTGCAAAAGTTGACATTCAATGGAAACCAGAATGTAAAGGCAATTTTTGAAAGATTGCAGGATGTTCTCGGAAACATACACACATGCATGCACATGCACAAACATGCTTGCATACTCACACACATACGGACACATGAACACAGATTGTGGAAGAAAGGAGCGTGGTTAAGAAAACACTGCATAACAAAAATATAGCAACCACATCAGGATTGGTGCCTTTCTGACACCTGCTAGTTTTGCAGCTTGTTGGAGGGTCTGAAATGGCCAAGAAGGTTTAGGATTGGGTGGAGTGGATGCCATGGTTAATCCATTTCCCAGGGAAACAGTAGTGTAATGAGTAATACAGTGTAACACTTTCACTCCCTCTCAGTCTTGTTCCATTTAGAAACCTGGTCTCTGGTTTCGTGCATTTTGTTACGTTCATTTTAAGACTGAATAATACTCCATTGCATATATACACAAACATACATGCAATATATGTGTATTTACTCAATACGTCTTCCATACTTCTACTCAGAACACTTCCATTCTTCCCACATCTTGGCTATTGTGAATAAACAATACTATAATGAATGTGTTTACCTCCTGGGGGGGACCTGATTTCATTTCTTTAGGGTATATCCTCAAAATAAAAATTGCTGGGTCACATGCTGCCACTGAGCTTAGCAACTATATTGGAAATCACCCCAAAGTGAAGCCAAAATTGACAAATGGAAGTTCATTAACTAGAAAAGTCTCTGGATACCAAAGCAAAATGAAGAAAGAAGCCTACAGACTTGGAGAAAGCTACATGTAAGCCAAACACCCAAAACATTAAGGAGTTCACAATGCTCAATGGCGAACAAATCCAATTATCATTCCCTAAAGAGAATATACAAATGATCAACATATGTATGACAAAGGAACTTGACATTCCTCATCATCAGGGAAATGTCAATCAAAATTCCACGCAGGCACCACCTCGCACTTATTAGGAAAGCTATTACCAAACAGCTAGAGACTAAGTGTCGACTTAAGGTGTGGAGAAAAGGGAATGCTCGCACACCATTGCTGACGATGTAAATTGCAGTCATTATGGAAAGCAGCATGCAGTTTCCTCACACATTAAAACTAGATTCATCAGATGACCCAGCCTTTGCTAAGTTGAGTCACCTGCTTTTTGTTTTCCAGTTACTAGAAATCAAAGGCACAGGCTCAGTGCCAGCACTGGCCTCCCAGGTCCCCATGCGGTCTGAGGCCAGCAGGGGGCGCCGTGGACCACGAGGGGGGTCCCGCGGGAAGAGGAAGTGCCCGACCAGGCTGGCCCAGCTTAGGGTGCACACAGACTCTCCTGGGCCGGCTGAGCGCGGTCGGTTCCGGGTCCGGTGACTCGCGTGACAAGCGTCGCCGGGTGCGCAGAGGAAGGATCTGCCCTGACAGCCTGGTGGAAGATTCCCGGTGCCCATGGCGGGCGAGGGATTCGGGCAGCCGGGGACGACAGCCACCCCGGCGCCCGAGACCCGAGAGCACCTCTTCAAGGTGCTGGTCATCGGCGAGCTCGGCGTGGGCAAGACCAGCATCATCAAGCGCTATGTGCACCAGCTCTTCTCCCAACACTACCGGGCCACCATCGGGGTAGACTTCGCCCTCAAGGTCCTCAACTGGGACAGCAGGACGCTCGTGCGCCTGCAGCTGTGGGACATCGCGGGTAAGCGGGCAGCATTCAGTGCCCCCAGGCTCTCGCTCCTCTCTGCCTCCTGGTTCCTCCTCTCTTTTCTTTCCTCTGCCTGAGCTCCCTGAGGTGCGCTTTTAGAAGAGGACAAATGGAACAGGAAGATAAGTGACTCCTGGAGGGGCTGAAAAGGTCCTGGAAAGTCGGCTTTGGGAGGCCTATGGCTTCCCTTACTGAAGTTCTGGATGACTTAAAGGACTTGCCTGGAGTTTCACTACCGGTTAGGACAGTGGCTCTCAACCTGGGGGTGTCGAACCACCCAGTCCCTATGACAATCAGAAAACACAGATATTTACATTATGATTCATAACAGTAGCAAAATGACAGTTATGAAGTAGCAATGAAAGTAATTTTATGGTTGGGGGTCACCACAACATGAGGAACTGTATTAAAGGGTCACAGCATGAAGAAGGCTGAGTATCACCTTGTTAGTGATAGACCCAAACCCAACAAAACTGGGCTGCATTCGACCATGTTCCCCCTCTCATCTGTCTTGGGTCTGTGCCCAGCTGATGTAAGGATTTTTCTCTCCTTAAGCCAAGAAATTTTACCTCTGAGTAATGACAGACCTGCTTATAATTTACTAAAAGGGGTTGGAGCTATGTGTGAGAAAAACTTGGAGCTCAGCCAGGCCTTTGTGAAGGAAACTCCATTCCTGAAATGCCTCTCACTTGGGAGGCCTGGTGACCCTGGAGTAGGGTTGGGAAAGTTCTGGAACTTTCCTGCTGCCTGCCCTTCCCTAAGCCAATCCTCAGGCCTTCCCCTGGGCACTTCCCCATCCCACAAACACTGAATTGTTACCTTCTGCTTTCACTTGTTGCTGTGAAATGTAAGAAACATTCATTGTCTTTGGGAGAACACCCTTCCCCGAGTTCTAGGTACTGCTTGGGCGTCCAACAAAAGGTGACCTTGTGTGAAGCTGAATGAAATGGTATCAAAGGTTACCCTGTTTGATCATTGTGTTCAGAGCTTCTGGTTGCCAGCAAGCGTTTGAATGGGAGCTTGTTTAAGATTGTAGAACACCTTGCCTAGGTTGTTCCCACGGGGTGCATACCGTAAGGTCCCGGACGGTGTGGTTACACAGCTGGGAGCAGAGTGGAGGGGCACCTGGCACTTAGACCAGGCAGTAAGTACTGTGTTCTTTTTCTAGCCTTCCACGTGTGGAAAGGTTATAAACTCTACCCTCAGTTGCTTAAGAATGGAGCCAGTTTAGATCAGTTCTATCTATGTATGCGCATGGATACCAGTCTCTCAGGAAGTTGCTCGGCCTTGGACTCTACTTGTTTTGTTTGAAAAAAAAAAAGCAACTAGGAATCCATTTGAAGTGTCACCCATCCTTTAAAGCCAGAGGTCTCATTTGAAACCCTGTCTACTACTGCTCAGAACACTGAAGAACAGACTCTTCTTCTTGCCAACTTCTCACATCCTGAAGGTTGCCTTCCCCTGTCCAGTGCCGCTTTTTTCACGGGGATGGTTTGAAACCCCTGTTACAATGGCAATTCAGTTTCTTTTATTATGTGTAAACCACTAGGATACTAAGTATTAAATTATGTTTGGAGATTTGGGGAAGCAAGAGTAAGAGTTCCCGATGCCTTTAATCCAGCACTTGGGGCACAGAGACAGGAAGATCTGTGAGTTTGAAGCTAGACTGATCTACAGAGTGAGTTCCAGGATAGCCAGGACTACCCAGAAAAACCCTGTGTGGGAAAATAAATAAGTAAGTAAGTAAATAAACAAACAAACAAACAAATGAGAATGTTTCCTTCTGTGCGTCCCCTCAGCTCTTGGCCTCCAACTCTAGATCCTCCTCCCTCAGCCTCCCTACTGGTGGAACTACAAGAATGTACCGGTACACCCAGCTCCATTCTTCTTGAACTGACACCATAGCCAGGAGGGAGACAAAGCCCATCTGCCTGTCATGATGATGCCATGCTTGCACTCTTGTCAAAATCTGAAGCTTGAGCTTTGTTGGAAAGAAAGATACACTTTATAATTTCCAGAAGGGATCTCTGATGTTAGCTGTTCTTTTTTCAAAAGGAACTCTTGTGGTGTTCCGCAAATACATAACTCTAAATAACAACTTGACAAAAACTTACCAGGTGTCTTATTTAGGGTTTCTATTGTTGAAACACCATGACCAAAATTCATGTTGGGGAGGAAGGGGTTTATTCAGCTTACACTCGACAGCACTGTTCATCACGGAAGGAAGTCAGGACGAACTCAAACAGGCCAAGAACCTGGAAGCAGGGGCTGATGCAGAGGCCATGGAGGGGAGCTGCCTCCTGGCTTGCTCATCATGACTTGCTCAGCCTGCTTTCTAATAGAATCCATGAGCACCAACCCAGAGATGGCCCCACCCACAGTGGAATGGGTCCTCCCTCATCAATCACGAATGAAGAAAATGCCTTACAGCTAGACCTTATGGAGACATTTTTCTCAATTGATGTCCCTTCCTTTCAGATAGCTCTAGTTTGCATGTCAAGTTGATATAAGAAGAGCCTGTGTATGTGATACCTAGACACAGGCTTTTCTCATAGAGTCAGAGTTTGGGGAATACAGATGACGAGAGACATAAATGACTTGGATTCAGGCAGGAATTTGCAGAACTACAACCTCAACTGCTTGGTTTGAACATTTGAGTTACTGGTGAATTCTGCTTAGCTCATACCATTTGAATGAGGAAAATGTTGTATAATGAAGACCATGGCAAAACACTTCCCTGAGGCTAAGCATACGCCGTGTATGTTTACAACACTGACTCATACTGAAGTCTGAAAGAATAAAAGTATTCTCCGGGTTGCAAAACAAAAGGAGGAGCCAGCCACATGACATGACTCAGCTGCTAGTTCCTTTTCAATACTGTTGCTCTGGAGGCTGCAGAGGTGGACAGGGTCATAAAAAAGAAAATAATAATAGTAATGTCAACCATCAGGAAAGCTTTGAAGTGCACAATAGGCAAGAATTACAGAATGCTTTCTTCAAAGGGAGCCAAACAGCTCCATGTAAACCCTTCAAATTAAGGACCACAGTAGCTTGCTGGCACAGGCCTCAGCAAAGTGATTCTCATTGCATAGAAGGAACTAAGTTAGAACATACTTCACATTGTAGACTCATAACAATTACCATTTCTTCCTACCTTCAATCCAACATCTCCAGTCACTGTGCTTCTTACCTAGGAAGTTCAGAAATCCCACAGTAGGCAGGTTTTGACTGGCTGCATCCTTTTAAAATACATTTTGAAAGACTTTCCACTATGGACATGTCTGCATGTGGTAAGCTGTTTATTGGCACATGGCTACAGGAACACGCCCTATAAAAACATCAAAGCAATAATTGTAGATGTTTGCCTGGTCTCTGGTAAACAGCCAGTGATTAAGCCTGAGCCATGTAGTCCAGGAATGAAGTGTTATTTTCAAATACATTCTTGGAGAAATTGTATTCATTGTGTATATGTTATTTGCTTTTTATAAGCTTCCCATATAGAATTTTCTGTTTTTTTATTATGTAAATGTGGGAGACTTCTGTAAGACCACAGACCAAGGAAACATGTTTTAGAATTCACCCAAGTGTTCTCATCGAAAGCCTTTTTCCCTTTGACTCAGCAAGCCAGGCAGGAGTGGCTCCCTTCTGAGACAGAGATGGGGTCGGGGGTGGATATCAAAGATATAGCTTTACGGTTTCTATTGGTCATTTTAGCTGACAGCCTGAATTCTCTCCAACCCAATCATCCCCCACAACCACTGGATTCTGTCTGTATAGTTTATTTACACATCCTCTACCATGGCTTGTGACTGCTTCTTGAGATTACACTGAGTATATTGGGGTTCTGATTGTGATTATCTGGAATCTCTCATCAGAACCACAGGGACCTTAGTGTCCACTGTCAAGAACATGCACAAGCTGTTTGGCATCTGCTATGTCACCAGGCTAGGCTTCATCTGACAACTGTGTTCATCCGGCCTGGTTCAGCAAGTGATACTCCTTTCACACCTAAGTCTGGGGTTAGGCATTCCAGGACTGGTGAACTGTACCGTAAGATCTTCATAGACAAAATCTGGCTTGTCACCACTCCCTTATTCTAAAACTGTATTAATGTTTCAGTGGCCCAGTAAAATGGGCATGTCTACATGCAAGGGCAATTAAGAGATATAAGGCTCATGTTTTAAACTGGGCATAGAGCTCGCTCCAAAATACTCTGTACAGGGAAGTTGTGGGTAACAATTAGCCACCCTTCATGCCTGCCAAATCAGAATTTGAAGCACTTGGGAGTTTACCTATCTCACGGTATGTGTGATTCTGATTTATACTAAAGCTGAGAAGCTTTGTTCTATCTTGGGCCCTGTTGCACCCTGGCAACACACCCACATTCCCACTACACTCCAGACTCCAGGAGCTTACCACTTCATCAGACCGCCTGCCTGGCGTCCGTGTCCCCTCACGGTCACATCTCCCATGCCCTTCACTTCCTTTCCCAGATTCCCAGCACTTCCACAGAAGTGCCATCAGGCCGTCCTTGTCCCCTGTGTGATCATCTCAGGAGCCTCTGGTGGAGGCCATTTTACGGACAAAAGAGGAATTTACATATAGAGACAGGATACTTTTTGTTCATGTTGGATACATTTATTTAAAGGATCAGGAACAATGTCATAATCTTTTAAAGCTATTAAGAATGTGAGCACAAATTTAGCGAGGTATTTTTATTTTCATAGGTAATGATCCTCTTATAATCTGTTTGGAGAGTGCCTGTGGACATGTCTCTGCAATGCACCATGAGATTTAAGGGTTTTCTTTAGGAGACCTTCCATGTACTAATTAGAAACTGGATATTTCTTCTGAGTCACCTTGAGTAGTTAATGGGTAACGCGTGTTTACTCTCAGTGGATGGGGAAGAACTGAGGATCTGAAAGCGGAGAAACTAAGCCCCGTTTATTGTCTTGCTCTCGGGTGTTGCTATGAGACTTTTATTTTGAATTTCTACTAACGTTATTGGAACATTTGGATTATCAAGAGGGAGGCACAGATATAATAGGGAGGGAAAACCCGAGAAAAAGGCATGATGGAAACCCCCAAACCCAGTTTCTATGAATTGTACGTCTCATCACAGCAGAACGTGGTACTTTCTTTATTAAATCTGAGAGAAACAGATTCGTTAAGATTTTCATATGTTTTAAAGAGGTAAGACAGACTATTTTGTTTTTTTTTTTAAGTCAAATGGGAATATTTGTTCCTAGAAAGATACTAGATTTGCTGTTTGGTCCTCCTCATTGTCATTAATGTATAGTACTCCAAATAGCATTATAAATATTTTAATCCTTTGCCAACTTAAGGTATTTTAAGATTTCAGCCTTTGCATATGTAAGAGCTTGTATGATGATATCTTTGGAGCTGAACCACTCTCTCGGTACTTACTTTTTTCATCTTTCATGCTTGCCAAAATTCCCAGTTATAATCAACACACCTTCCTCCTGAGGCAACGGCACATTGTCTAAGACACAAAATATTTTGGAGAATCACTGAAAGTGTCCTGCCAGTATGTCAGCAGCAATGTAGGTGATAAAGGCTACTCCTAGTATCAGTGACTGGTACACTCTGCAATAGGGGTCTTCCCTCAGCTACTGTAGGAAAACACAAGATGACTAGAGTGTGTTTGGGGGGTGGGCACTGTAGCAGCATTTTACTGTACTTGGGGAAGTCAAGTTAGCTACTGGTACTAACAAGAATCCCTTCTGCCACACAGGACACAAGCAGAAATTTGTCTTTTCCAGTAAATATCTGGGAACAGACCAAGTGGCACAGTAGTGCGATCAACCCAGAGAATCCCAGTATTTCCTTGGGACTCCATTCTCTTGTAAGCAAGCTGGACTACCTGGATGCTTGTACCTGTCTCCTAGTTTCAGCCAGTAGTTTCTCTTTTAGCACTACTCAGAGGCATTACTCTTGCACAGAGATCCTCTGAATTAATCTGAACTTGTTCAACACGTCTATTAGAATGATGAATCCCTAGTTCTGACTGATTTTCCTATCAATGCAAGTTTTAAGTCTGAACAGGAAGCTTTTGCTCCTCTGCCCCTCCCCACCATAACTACCAGAGACAGGCTTCCTCCTTTACCCAGATGTTTCTCATGCAAAGATTCCCTCAGATCCCAAGCCAGGCCCTGCAGCTTCGGCACAGTTTGTCTGCCTTGCAGTAAAGTGTCCATTCTAATGTTTTCACGACTTTTAAGCGCTGTTTTCTCTTCTTGCTTGAGAGTCCTCTTTCCATATTTACTCTGGGTGAAAATTTTCACTGGGTAAGTGATTGACACTTGATCCCCCCTCCCAAGTCCTCTCCTTTTCATTTGCTGAATTGTATAACTTTTTTTTTCACTTAACATACAGGTTGTTGTTGTTGGTGTGTTTGTTTGTCTGTTTGAAGTACAATTTCTGATGTGAGCCCTGTCAGGGAGAATTTCCTTCCAGTCTTGACATCTCAGAGAATCTGTCTGACATTTCTAAGCCAAAGTATCTTCCCCTAAAATTCCTTATCATAGGCATTTCTGGTTTTGGATGAGTAGTCAGAAAGGACAGATGAGTACATTTTTTAATACCATGCGTTATGATTAACAGAAAAATTGTTTGGGATTTTCAGAAGATTTACACACACACACACACACACACAAGCAAGAGTTATGAAAGCTTAGGAGCTCTTTAGAACAGATAGTTACCTATTCTTTTACTAACTTGGCACCTTATCTTTTTGAAATTCAAAGGATGATCAAGCTGAGAAGTATGTAATTACCCTAAAATGTTAATCCTTCCATCTTTCTTAACCTATGACTCTTTTAGTGGGAGTCACTTGTTGCTAAAGCCCTTTCGTGTTCATTAATTAAAGTTCATAACAGTGAGTTCCTTTCGGCTCACTAGGAGAAGTTGGAGTCCAAACAACTTCAATGCCTCTGCTTCAATGCCTCTGTCTAGTTGTTTTTGAAGTCTTGGTGACCTTACCCTTAACCTTTAAAATATCCTAAATGAACATATTGATGTCATTGCTCAGTCTTGGTGACCTTACCCTTAACCTTTAAAATATCCTAAATGAACACATTGATGTCATTGTTCAATGCACACTTATAGAGAAAGAGACAAACCTAAGTTTCCATAAATGTCAGCATTTATGATTGAATGAATTACACAGATAAGCTAAAATCAGATTTATTTTACCAATAAAAACAGGTCCCAACATATTCAGATGTTTGGACATATGAAGAGTCACAAGTCAAAGCAATATTTAAAAATATAATGGTGTGATAGAATTCAGAGGAGAGAGGGTTTTTGCAGTCTGGGGTATTTTTGTATTTGTGTAAATAAAGGATAATAAAGATGTAGATGAAGCTGGTTCCTCAGTGTGTTTGAACAGGAAAGTATGGTGCTGTTACTGTGCCTTTGTCTTAGATCATGGTGATAATCTTAGATTCTCATTGCTTGCTACTCATTCTCCCCCTCTGAATCTAGTCACTGTTTTGACAGCTTAGATATATGAGATTAAGAATTCAAGACAAATGCAAGCTAGTTCAGAATCTTAAGTCTGTTTCTTTTGGTGAGAGTCCCCATGATCCAGACCGAACACCTTTTTGTCCCTCTATTCATCTGTCAGATTGGTAGCCTTGTTATGTGAAAGACTTGTTTGGCAGCAGGTAGTAACAGCCTGCTTTGCAGACCTGTCTGGATGTGCAGACAGTAGTATACGGAGCAGCAGAATTTGGTCAGCAGTTCACAGAAGCTCAGTTTTTTCAGAGGGCTGTGTCTAAAGAACTGTGCGTCGAACCTTCTCACAACCGTGCAACCAGGGGTGTGTCACTTCTTGTCTGGAAGACACAGGTTTTTCCAGTGCCTGCTTCTAAGAGGGGATGAGGCAACAGCGGGTAGAGATGGGTTACAGGTGTAAAGGGAAGGTGAGCTGAGATCACAAGCCTCCTTGTCTCCCGTCCAGTCCCAGTGTTCTTGACTCGCTTTTGACCACATCACCTGTCTGTATTATGTAATTCAGATTATTTCATTATTCACTCTTCTTCCACTTCTGCCTTTCTGTTTTCCCTCCTGCCTCTCCCTTCTTAGACTAATGAGAGAGAAAGCAGAACCATCTGTTTGTGCATCCTGCAGTACTGGAATCCTGAAGTGTGTGGTAAATGTGTTCTACAAAGGACTAGCTCCTCCTGTCAAGCAATTGTCAGACACCTATTTTAAGTCCCTGGGTTGTTGTTCTGTCTGAATGTCCTTAATCTCACCAGTAATGCCTGTTCCTCAAAATGGTTTTTAGGACCTTTGAGCATTCACCTGTACCTTAATATGACCCTGACCTCCTTTTGTATGCATTCCTAGGGCAGGAGCGCTTTGGGAACATGACCCGAGTATACTACAAGGAAGCTCTTGGAGCATTTGTTGTCTTTGATCTCTCAAGAGGTTCCACATTTGAGGCCGTCTTAAAATGGAAAAGTGATCTGGATAGCAAGGTCCATCTCCCCAATGGCAGCCCCATTCCTGCTGTCCTCCTAGCTAACAAATGTGACCAGAAGAAGGATGGCGCCCAAAGTCCTTCCCAGATGGACCAGTTCTGTAAAGACCACGGCTTCACTGGATGGTTTGAAACCTCTGCCAAGGTGAGCAGGCTTTCCTGACAGATCTGTTTCTGATACCCTTGTCAGGCTGGGCTGGGACATGAAGTGAATACATGGATTTCTACAAGGAGTTTTGTAAGCCCATAATAACAAAATCATAGTGTGGATATGTACCAGGCTCCCCTCTGAAGCCTAAGTGCTTTCAAAGTTAGCTGACGAGGCCATGAATGGGTGAGCAGAACTGTCGTTCAGGGCAAAAATCCCATGACATTTTCTACAAGTTTGCGTTCTTAACCAATGCGTTTCTCTCCTGTTACTGGAGTGAATGGGAGATAAGGTGTTTTGTCGAAGACAAGTACTTTTTGACTTTCGAAAAAGGCAAAGAACAGGAGGAAATGTCTCTAGAAGATGAATGTCATATGTCGTCACATATATGGGTCATAGAGAACAGTCACCAGCAGACTGGATAACAGCGAGCTTTAAGCAAAACGTTAACATTTACTCTGGGCTCCTTCCTGAATAACTGAATGGATTTTTTTTCTCTTATCATTGGGAACTGAATTTTTTCTCTTTTAGAAAATAAAAACAGTGAGATAAATTTTGAAAAGCTTAGCTAAGGTTAAAAAAATTGAGAGGTACACTCACTGTATTGAAGAGTTGTATTTCCTGGAATTGTTAAATAAAATAATTCAATAATCATCAGACATGCCTAAAAAAATAGTGACTTCTTGAGAAATTCTGTGATAAGTTTTCATTCCTTAATTTTCACATTGTTTATACTGTTGCAGCTTATATGTATGCTATAGAAGTGTGTGTGTGTGTGTGTGTGTGTGTGTGTGTGTGTGTGTGTATACACATCATTGTTTCTCCAAATATCCTTCCCGAGTGATGATTTTTGGGATTCCTGTCAGGTTGCTTTCAGCTTTCCTAGGCTCTTGCCCTCAAGGTGGGAGATTATTCAATGTCAGTTCTCATCAGAGTGATGAAAGCAGGTGAGGAGCATCTGCATCACAGGATAGCCTCCAAGGGTTGAGTGATGATGGAGTCGATGGCAAAGGAAAGTCCCTGGAGGCAGAAGTGAGTGGTCCCAGCCTACACTGTTTTGACTGTTTTGTAAACAGATAGATAGTTGTGATGGAACCCAGTGGTGCTGTCACCATCATGGGCTTGGCGGAAGCATGTCAGTAGGCAGACATGGCAACTGGGGCAACTAGAGACTAAGAGATCGTACCCCAAACCACAAGCACAAAGCAGAGAGAGAACACTGTGGGTGATAGATTTTCAAATCTCAGTACTAGTTCATAGTGATCTACTTCCTAAGCCTCACCAAACAGCCCCATCAAATGCATCAGTATTCAGTATATGAGTCTCTGGGGATGTTCTCCTTAAAACACAGCTCTCTAGCAGTGGTTACTCCAAGCTGAACAGGAACAGAAATCCCATCATATAGTGAAATGAGTTGCAAAGTTCCATATAAAAATCCATTGTGCGCCATGAAGGAGAAAAGACTAAATTTGTGACCTTAACTCTGCCTTTCTGACAAGGTATCCATTAGAATCCATTGCACTAGAATTCAAGTAAAATCCGGTTGTGAAACTAGTTGCTGACTGATCTGGAAGTCGATCTATTGGTAATACTCACGTAATACTTAAAGTTTTGATTCATTTTTTCAAACTTTTAAAGGAAAAATTCATAGTAATGTTACACTACAGATTCTAGACTCTAGAAGACTCCCGAGTCACCACACAGGAAATCATGTGGAAGCTCATCTTCACATACTTGAGGGAAGCTCAGAGATGCATGAGAATGTTCACTGATAAACACACCCCCTCTCTTCTACATAGTATCTTGTTTACAAATAGAATACAGCCAATCACTTACACAGGTTCAAACTGTAGGTCCTATGTCAATCATTTATGAACTTTATAGGCAGGTTTTTGTATAATATTAAAGTTTGTTAGCTAGAAGATCAAATAAATCCTACATGGGATTTTACAGGCAGTATAGGAAATTCCTCAAGTTGCACACATACTGCTCTTTAATGGGAAATTAAAGCAAATATATGTGTAATGGGAAATTAAAGCAAATTTATGTATCATGTACATGGGGCAGAGAGAGGCACAGTGCTGGAAAATTCAGTCTCTCCATAATGCCTTTCCTTTTCTGTGATTTTTCTCCTTCCTGCCATGCTAAGTAACTCCTGCAGGACTTCTGGGCTCCATCATTCTTCCACCACAACTATCTTTTCATGGAACCAAGGACAACATAAGATGCTGGATTTATCAAAACAGTGTAGGCTGGGACCACTCACTTCTGCCTCCAGGGACTTCCCTTTGCCATCGACTCTATCATCACTCAACCCTCGGGGGCTATCCTGTGATGCAGACGCCCCTCACCTGCTTTCATCATTCTGATGAGACCTGACATTGAATAATCTCCCACCTGTGGGCCCCAGAAAATCCTTCCCTCCATAAGTTGCCTTGGTCATGGTGTTTTATCACAGCAACAACCACAACAACCAAATAACTAATGATGAGGGAAAATGACAAGAGCCGAACAACACTCTTGGAAATTCAAAGATCCTTGCTTCTGTTAAAGTTATCTTGGTAGTAAAGGTCTCAAACTAGACCATGCTGTGAAAACATCCTAAATAAACAGTGGTGGTCCATGCCTTTAATCCTAGCATTTGGGATACAGAGGCAGGCAGATCTCTGTGAGTTCAGGGCCAGCCTGATCTACAGACCAAGTTCCAGGACAGGCTCAAAAGCTACACAGAGAAAACCTGTCTCGAAAAAAAATAAATAAATAGCATCATTCCCAAATGAGCAGCCCTGCTATCTGAGAAAGTTTCCACAAATAAGGGAGACAATTTCATAGTGTTTTGGATTTGGTTGGAGACATTAATATAGTTTTCTATTTATAAATTTATGTGTATTCATATGTATGCATTTATTTTCATGAATATTTATAAATATACAAAAAAGTGTGTGTGTGTGTGTGTGTGTAGACATGTATCTAATAGCTCTACTAGCCCTTAGGACTAGAAGCAATAACACCATATAAAGAATGAACTCTCCTAATACAATTACAATACAATGTTTTAAATAAGCAGACTGAAGATATCAGGAGAAAGGCATGATTCCATGACTGATGGGATTAGAAAGTGAAGATAACCTTGAGATAGTCTGTGTTGTCAGCAAGTAAGGAAGCATTCACAAAACAGTGTGGACAGGTCCCAAAGAGAACAGGGGCCTGCTTGTAGATGCTACAGAATTATAGGACAATCACCAAGTAAAGAATTATTGGGATGGGCTTAATGGATGTGCACAAACAAATAAAGAATACATTTTCTCTCACAGTAGAGTCCTGGCCAGTAAATATAGGAGGACTGGTGCAGATGAAATGACAGCTTCCACTGACACAGTGATAATTGCCTTAGAAGAGAATTAACAGATGCTCAAGTTAGTGAGGAAAAGATGTATAAGAAGTAGGATATCACCGGGCGGTGGTGGCGCACCCCTTTAATCCCAGCACTCGGGAGGCAGAGGCAGGCGGATCTCTGTGAGTTCGAGGCTGGGCTGGACCGATAGCCTCCAAATCAATACAGAGAAACCCTGTCTCGTAAAACCAAAAAAAAAAAAAAGAAAAAAAAAGAAGTAGGATATTTACCTATCTGGATTCATTAAGTCCAAATGTGGAGTCGCAACTTTTCAACAGGAAGCTTGGAAGCAGTGGCCTTGATCCACGTGTCTTCCGCACTCTGAGGACACAGGATCCTATCTGCTTCCCAACAAGAATGCAGCACTTGAAGTTACTCAAAAGCAAATATTAGAAAGACTCAGGCCAAGGGCTATTCTGTGGCCAGAGTTCTCCAAGACGTCACTTGAGGTTACAAAAGTGATGTAACCATCAATAACATTTCCTGTGTTTCAATAAATAGCCTCCCACTCGTGCTGGGGCAACAACTCTAATTAGCTCAGTGAATCACACACAAAAAGACATGAAGATGGTGGGGGGAGGAGACGTTTCGGGAAGCAGAGGCTCTGGGAAGAAGGATGGGATATGAGAGATTAATGGGAGCAGAAATAACTAAAATTCATTCCATACATGTATGACACCTTCGAAGAATAAATAGCAAAGTAAACTAATGCCATGAACTCTTAGAGTAGCAGATGCTAGCATTGGAGAAGAGGTTACCAGGTGTGCTTAGCGCCCCCTGGCAAGTCTCCCTAGTCCCCTTACTGCACTCAACATTTACTTTCTGAGGCCAAGGCAGGCACTGACCTTCCCATTCTGTGTTCCTATGACAGGATAATATAAACATCGACGAGGCCACCCGGTTCCTAGTGGAAAACATCCTTGCGAACCAGCAGAGCTTTCCCAGTGAAGAAAACGACATGGACAAAATTAAACTGACCGATGAGCCCCTCCCAACAAAGGCCAGGTCCCAGTGCTGCTGATGTGTCCCAGCATTGGCTGCACTATGCTCACGGTGCCTCTGTCCCTTGTAAGTCTCCCCCAGGCATGCTTTACCGTCTGGCTGCACAGGAACGACTCCTGTGAAGGTGGAGATCCGTGGAGAACTGGTCCCTCTAGAGGCCCTGTGACCAGAGGAACCCTAGGCTCTTTCTGTACTGCCAAATAGAGACTAATGTTTACATCCTTTGAAACATTATTGGACATGGATTTCAAGTGTTAGCTTTTAGTGTAAGAACCGAAATAGTAGGAAGACTTCCCACGGTGTTCCTGACATTTTGAGTGTCTTTGTTCCTGTGTTCATCCTCATCTAACCCCTATTTTTTTCTTATTTTCTACGAAAAAAAATTCTTCTTCTCTTCTTTCTGTTAGCTACATAGAATTGAAGATCCCATGCAGTTATTTCCTAGTCAAAACTCTGTACTTCTTGTAAAACATTTGTCATTAAATACCGAGTCTAAGCTGGGCTGGGTGGTAGTGGTGCTCAACTTTAATCCTAGCACTTGGGAAGCAAAGGTGGACTATCTCTTTGAATTTGAGGCCAACATGATCTACAAAGCAAGTTCTAGGACAGCTAGTACTGTTACACAGAGAAACCCTGTCTGGAAAAAACAAACAAAAAACAAACAAATAAACAAACAAAATGTGATTGTAAAACTCATAGGTGGCGTATAATGAAGTTGTTCTGAAACATCTTGAGATTCCCTTCCCTAACTAATCAAAAAGTACTGAGCTGGAGGTATGGCCCAATGATAGAGTGCTCGCCTAGAATGTTACAGACCCTAGGTCTGCAGGGAGGAAAGTGCTTGCTCCACGGATGTATTATGGGTGTCTCCCTCTGGATCCTCTCAGATGTACTTGTACTTGTTACTTAGAAACAATATAAAGGAGCATTCCTTCTCTGCCCGGCATTCTGTGTTAGAACCTAGAGCTATTGAAGGCCCAGCCATAGTATATGGAACTTGCCTTTCCAGATCTCTCCTCATAATGGTCAGGGGGAGAATTTTTTCCAAAGTGTATGCAGTTATACCCAAGTTTCTCGAGTATGAAACCTGAAAGAAAGCAAACCATGTATCTAATGGTTTTTGTCTACGGTTACAGACACCGACTGTATAATGCCTAAGACACGTTAGGCAGATCTACAGTGTTTGAGTTACACTTAACTCAGTGAAAGCAAAGAATAAATATTTTAACCTAAGCCTGTGAGTTGAGTGAATGTATTTCTAGGAAGGCACTTTCTTGTTTAATAAAATGTTGTGTTTGACTGGGCTGTTGGCCCACATCTGTAGTTCTAGCATGCAGGAGACAGAGGCAAATAGGTAGAATTCAAGGCATATATTGACTACACAGCAAGCTCAAGGACAGCCTGGGCTACACAAGATCCTTTCTCCAAAAGGAAAAAAAAAGTCTTAAAAATTGTATTCTGTGAATTTTCTAGATTTAGCTGCTTTATTTGTGTGTTCTTTGGCTGCATTTGTTCCTATGTGTGGGGTGTGTGTGTGCGCGCGCGTGCGCGTGTGTGTGCGCGCGTGCGCGTGTGTGTGCGTGCGCGCGCGCGTGTGTGCGTGCGTGCGCGCGCGCGTGTGTGTGTGTGTGTGTGTGTGTGTGTGTCGATGATGGGAGCCCAACCCACATCCTCTGCAAAGGCAACAAGTGTTTTACTCACTGAGCCACCTCTTGATTTTTATTTTAAAGCACTTATCACATAATGCAAAAAAGTTTAGCTCCTTTAAAGAAATTTAAAGAACCTTTGTGTCATAGCTTAAAGCTGAAACAAATGAAACACTGGACGTATTTGTCTCTTGAAACATGTGAACATGGTAGGTGAACACGCTGCCATAATAACAAGAAAAACAGAAATGCTATCATCTGGCATCTCTGTCCTGAGAATAAAGGAGTCACAGGCTCTTTTTTCACTAAACTCAAGCCTTACCTTAATGTGGCTAAGTGCTATATATTCAAGTAATGAGATCAATCATTTTAACCCTTTGGACAAGGACAAGGATAACAGGGTTTGATTAATGTGTATAATTTAATGCAATCCCTTTGATTTTGTCATGGTTAAATCTTTCTTTCTAAGAAATACATATCACCCAAGTGTAAAATACAGCTTTATAACGGTTGATATTTCACAGTCTGTGAAGAATCTATAAGGTGTTGCTATCAAACCCCAAATGATGGAAACATCAAGTCTATCCTAAATAAATACTGAAAGTGACTGAAGTCACTTGAAAGTTTTTGTGTGTGATACGATATTAATTTTTACAAATAGTCTATCACATTTAAGTTCTTTAGCAGTGGTCTTGATACTCAATTTGTTCATCTTTACAGTGTTGGTTTATTTACAGTATTCATCCAGGACAGATCCTGACAAAACTGATTTCTGTTATGTAATGTGAGACACTTTATACTATGTACTGTTCACATTTCAGAGAAAGAATTGTTAATCTTTTGCCTTAATCTTAAACTCTTTAATGTTTTGTAACTTTAGCATAAAATTTGCATGGAGGCTAAATGACATAAAAAAGACTAAATGAAAGAAAAGAATTCTATGTTCCCTTCATTCACTTTAAAAAGCAGTTATACATTTAAACATATACCCTCTCTCAGACACTGGTGTAAAGTAACCTATTAAAAGATGTATCAAGATGTTGCCAAGTTTCTTATCTGCTATGTGTCTATCCTTAAACCCCACATTTCTAAATGTTATCACTGTGGTACAGTAGCTTTCCAATATGTCTGTGAAGCTCTGAATTCCTTAATGACATTTCCCAAGCCTCACTTCAAACTTTGCATGGTTTCTTGGAAATACACTTTTATGGTAATCCAATGTCTATTTTGAAATCTCCCATGCTAATTACCATACAAAAATTCTGAATTTGAAATCTATAGTATTCTCAAAACACTATTAAAATATAAAGCTGTATTTCTGTGCGCAAAATTATTGTTAGTATGAAGTCTAGGCACTTTAGACAATGTACTAAAAATATAAATTTGTTGTCACCCACTGAAGTCAATAGGCACTTAAGGTTCTTGCTACCACTGATTAGCCATTTCGTCTACATCACAGTTCTCTCTTGTTTCCTCCCAAAATTATATAATACTGAAATTAGCTTAAATATGAGAAAAAGAAATCAAACTACATAAACTGTAGGACCACTGGGGGAAATATGCTAAGAAAATCCTTAAATGCTCTCAAGTGCTGAGAGCCAAGAAAACAAAGCATACATTTGATTTCATAAGAATATAAATAAAGACAACGTAGACAGAATTCTAACAAGCAACAAACGAAATATTTACAACCTCGTTGATTAGGTGGGGATTAAAAAACAGGACAATGACAAACAATGAATAACAATGGGCAAAGAATGCAAAACCAGCATGAGTGCACACTGGTGAGCACATGTGCGTTCATGCAAAGAATCCAGAGGACGACACTGGGTGTCCTTCTGTATTGTTTTTCTGCCTTAGTTCCTTGATGCAGGGTTTCTCACGGAAGCTAAAACTCTAAACCTTTTTTTTTGGCTACTCCTAGCTTTTACCCAGGATTCGATTACCTGGGGTCCTGACATTAACTTTTGGTCTCCACATGTAGCACTCATATGTATGTGCATCTGCAGGGACATATGTTCCCTTGCACATGTAAACACTCGTATACCCACAGACAGACATTACACGCAGATGCAAAAGTAATTTGTTACCGGATTAAGAAAAAGTGTATAACTTTGGTTACATTTTTTGTGGTTATTTCCTTGATATTGGGATCATAGAAGAAATAAGGCAGTCTTAGCTGTTGTACTCCATTTATTAGAGTAGATATCGTCAAGTACTCCTTCCCAAACTGTTGCTCATTTTACACTCCTGCCAAGAAGTGAAATTCATGTTGTTAGGGTAAGTATAATTAAAAATTTTTGCATAAGCATTATCAAAAATGATGTGCACGTTTCAAGTAATTCATCAGAAACTGAAAAAAAAAGAAAGAAACCCAGAAAATAACCTCACTCTTTCATTCAGTCAAGTAATAAGACATGTTAGTAGAATTTCACAACTAGTCCAACATCAAGACAAATTGTCATCACTGGTCTAACAGTTCATTCTGTGTCCACCTGGAAACTGGGAGGGTTATCTGTGATAACTGTTTTATCTGAAATGGAGAAAAAATAAATTCACGTTGTTGTGACAAATAAGTTTGTGTCATGTAGTAGGTTCTCACCAAAGTTAGTTTACACCAGAAGCTGTGAGTCAAAGGTTCTCTCCTTGCTGATATCTACATTTCAAAAAGATGGACCCTGTGCTTGGAAAAGCTGGTGAGAGGCTAACTTACCTTACAAAAGGACTTCCCACATCTCAGAGACAGCAAAGGAACTTGAAAGTTTCCTAATACAATATCTCAGAAAAGGGTATGGGAAGCATCACTTCCTTCATTTTCAATAGCAGAATTAAGCCTTTCATTTTTAATATGTGTTTGCCCTTACTAACCCCAGTTAAACACTGGCTGTGCACCCAAATCTGTTAACATTCTTAAAGATCAATAGCCGCAATAGCTCACAGCAAAAATCTAAATCTATATTTGATTAAGCATTCATTATTGCTCACATTAACGAACATTCTAGAAGAGACAATTGTACAACTCAAGGAAGCTTTATATATAAAGTCACATGTCTTTAAAATTCCGTTTTGAAAGATGAATATATAGAAGATGTGATTCAAAGACTGGGACTGTAGTTTAGTGATATAGAGTACTCAAAGGACTGGGATAAAGTCTTGACTTCAGTCCTGACCAACACACACACACACACACACACATACACACACACACACACCTGGCCCTACTTATACACTGTAAATTAAGTCCACTGTCTCCAAGAAGCCACGTGAAAACCATCTAGTACCCTTAACAAGTCTATCAGCATGTCACAAAACATATCCCGCCCTCTCCATACCACACTTGCTCTGAAAGCTTAAGTAGTCACGTTTTGAAAGTATTAGATAGACTTACATCCACTGGAAGGCAGCATATGAAACTGTCTCTTGAAGAAAGTGCTCATTTGGCTGAAATTTGAGGCCACATTAGATTTTCAATTTGCATTGACATGAACTTTGCTTTTGAGTCTTAGGGATAGCATCAGCCAAGCTTGAAAAGTGTGGTGTTGATGCCTGTAGAACTGGGAAAGACCCTGATTGAGTCTAGCCTCCATCTCATTTCAGTCTATCTGTCTATAAAGATTGACTTCCATGTGCTTTTTCTCACTGATAATTTTTTTAAATTTTGAAACTAACATAAAATCCCATCATTTCCCTCCTTCCCCTTTAAAGTATCTCAAGTATTACACCCCCCACCTGCTTTCTCTCAAATACATGGCCTCTTTTTCTTTGACTGTTGTTATTCGTTCCTTTTTATTGATTACAAGCTTTTAAGATACTGCCTAAAACCTTTTTCTCCTGTGGAGATTTAGTTCTGTAAAATGCTAGAGTGCTTTTATGCTGGCTTGATTCAGAATGATTTTAATCTCAGGGAAGGGATGGCCAAGTTTTCACATTACTGTGTCTTTAAAATAGGGCACATAGTCTAGCTTATCACGTGGTACTATTTAAACATATTTACTCCCATTCTGACTTAACGCAGCAATGATTAAATGATAAGTTCAGTGCATGTTGCTAACAATACAAAATGTAGGCAAGAGTGTACTTTCTGCAGACGGGAATTAAAGATAAAACAGGACCTTGATGCCAAGAGATAGAGTGCAGCATTTCGCAGGCACACAGATTGCTAAGCACACCGTGTTCTGAAGTAGCAATAATAGCTAACCAGAGATCAGCTATGGTCAAGCCTTTGAACATCTCATCCTGCAGTGTAGGATGAAGCTCGATTTTTGCCCTTGCTGCATTGAAAGTGTTATGTTCTGATAGTATTCATGTATTCATATATTACAATGAGTATTTCAATGATTTTACATCACACATTACTTAACTCTAAAGGAAATATGAAATAAATCATTCTCTTGCTAACAGACGATTTTAGTCATTCCACAATTTAGTGAAGGTCTCCAATGAAGAAGAGAGTCGCTATGTGTTTCAAAAGAGATCTCTGACGAAACAAACTAAAGTAAGGCCATAAACAGAATGGAATCCTCCGTGGAAATACTGCCTCTGATCTGGGTAGCTAAGCAGGGTTGGGCTGGTGAGTACTTGGGAAATAGGACAGGCAATCAACCCCTGTGTCTACTCCCTTTAGCTCATTACTCATGGATGTCCTGACTTGTGAGTGACAAAGTCTACTGCAACAACTGTCTTCTACTAAAGGCAGCAGTCTTATTTCTAAATCATGTACTGGTTGATTAAATCCTTTGTATATTAAATGTGTATTTTTTTATTCATGTGTATGTGTCCAAGTGTAAGTGTACACACGTGTGCAGATGCACAAGGAGGGCCAGAAGAGGGAACCAGACATCCCGGTGTTGGAGTTATAGGCAGTTGTGAAGCAACCAACACGGTGCTGGGATTTGAACCGTCGTCTGCTAGAAGAACAGCAGGTACTTTTAACAGCTGAGCTGTCTCGCCAGGACCTAGATCATGACTTGTCACTGAAGATGCCAACCAAGGCTTGCTCTCCAACTCTGAGTCTCATGCAGTGTATTAAGTCACCAGATAAAGAAAGGAAGCCATGCTTTCTTTTCTTATTAATGAGTTTAACAGAGTTTCCATATAGCTACTTTCAGCAGGGATATTTTTGGAACTGTGTATTTCGAAGAGTCTGTCTTTTAACCTTTACTAAATGACATATTGTAAGTTCACCTTTGAAGCTGCCTTGTTCTTTGCAAACCAAGGCTAATGATGAACATGAAGAGGACAAGGAAATGAGGTCTGTCAATGGTGTTAATCACCAGTGAGCATCTCTCCACAAACTCAAGCTGCTATTATCAATTTTTATTCTGCTACATCCTAATGTTTTATGATGGTATGACTGCTTAACTCTGCTCTAACATTTACTTTAGGGGTCACCTTAAAATCTTGGAATTCACTATTTCTAATCCAAGATTTTCATGTACCTGAAACATGGAAAAGATTAATGTTTAATGTTCAAAAATAATTTTGAAGCAAAATTGAAAATGAATATGCTCTTTACTGGCATGTACTCTCTCATATATGGATTTTAGACATAGATCTGGGGAGTGCCAGCCTACAATCCTATGGCCAGAGAGTCTGGGAAACAGAAACTTCATTTAGCGGCTGATCGAAGAAGAGGCAGACTCCCTTGGTTAAGTACTGAGCTGAACTCAAGAAAGCCAGTAACAGAGAGGGAGGACTGATGATCAAAGGGATTAAGACCGGGCTGGTTTAACCCCCAGAAACAGCTGACCAGACAAAGGTTAACTCTTGAATCCCAGGCATCAGCCTGGAAATCCAGCATGGGACTGATCAAGACCCCCTGAATCTGGGTGTCAGTGAGGAGGCCTAGGTAATCTATTGAGCCTTGGGCAGCAGATCAGTACCCATCCCAAGTATACACACGGACTTTGGACTCCCATAGAACAATGTGAGGTGCACTCTCACCCTGAACTCTTGGGGAAGGGTCTAGGCCCTGCCCTATATGAAATGACAGACTATGGACACCCCCATGGAGGGCCTCACCCTCCCTGGGGGAATGAGGGG